CTTCCGAAAAGGACACCCCTCTGATTGAGCTGAAATTTTATAGACAATATTGTTACGATATATAATGATTGTTTATGAAGATCTTATCTTCCGGTTTTGTGTAGTTTAAAAGTTAAAAAAAGGCTTTGCATGAAAAGTTTTGTGCCCTTTGGCAGGGGAAGAGGTGGGATGAAATGCGCTTTGTGTGAAAAATCGTGCATCCCTTGGCACGGAGGGGAGGTAGAGACTCGCTTCGTGTGAAAAGTCATGCGCCTCTTGACAGGGGAAGGGAGATAGGGTGAAACTCGCTTTGCGTGGAAAGTCGTACGCTTCTTCGCAGAGGAAAGGTGGGGTGAAACTGTCTTCGCGTGGAAAATCGTGCGCCCCTTGGCAGAAGAGGAGGTGAGGTGGAAGTCGCTTTGCCTGGAAAGTCGTGTGTTCTGAAGCAAGAGGAAGGGTGGAAGTTGCTTCGCGTGGAAAGTCGTGATCCTCTTGGCAGGGGGAGAGGTAGTATGAAACTCGCTTCGCATGAAAAGTCATGTGTCCCTTGACAGGAGGCGGATGGTGAAGTGAAATTTGCTTTGCGTGGAAAGTTGTACGCCTCAAAGCAAGGAGAAGGCATTGGAGTGGACTTTTATATTCAATGCAAGGTTTGAGTGTAAAATCATAGATTCTGAGATTAAAAAATTAGTGTATATATGTATATAAAAATATTATCAGTTATAATTTTTCTTTCTTTTATTTTTTATATTTAATATTATTTAAACTATAGAAAATCCGAAAGTAAAATCTTTATAAATAATCACTATACATTGTAACAATATTGTCTGTAAAGTTTCAACTCAATCGGAAGGGTGTCCCATTCAAAGTACAGCCCAGCTTTCTTATATTTCGTACGAGGTCTTGAATCTTTAAACTATCGAGATGTAAAGATCTGGGTTCGACTCCCACCGAGATAATATTTTTCGCAATAAATTTATTTATATTTTTTCAGCACATTAACCCTCAGTATACTCATAACAGATTAGCGTAACCTCGTCCGATTTTCATAGTTCAAACATTCGAACACGCTTTAAGCAGTAGTGCTGAAGCTGGAGGGGAAAAAACTTATGTATCACCTCTACAATTTCCTTGCTTGGCGACCTTCTAATGCGTCATTAGCATGCGTCACATACAGTGAGTGCAAATATTTATATAGAAAAAATATTTTTTAAAAAAACTTTATTTTTAAAAAATAAATATTATTTATTGTAGTAAGAAATGAATTATCGTATTAATGTTGAATCAATATCGATGCGATGATTTCAAATTGACACCAATTTGACATCGATTCGACGTTTAATTGACGATCATTTCTTGCTGGGTAATTAACAATTCATTCATAAAGAATAAAATAGACTGTATTTCTTAAAATTATACATATCAAAAAGATGTATATTAATTACAAAAAATATATCATCTGAAAAATAAGTAAAAATTAAAAATTGTATTGTTTGCATGCTCAAAAAGTATTCATATAGTCGAGAAATTTAACTTCTAAAGTCAAGAGTATATGCGAAGCTCATTTGTTAATGTGAGAATTAAATATATTCATTTTGTATAAAATTGCTAATTAATGTTTATTTTCTACAAATAAGAATTTATAAAAAATTTTCTTGTGCAAATGCTTTTTGCTCTCACTGTAGTTATATATGGTGTAAAGTGAATGTCGGGGTTACCCTAACCACTTGTGGGTACGATGTCAGAAAATTCAGACTTACTGTAAAGCTGAAATATAAGTACCCAAACAATTCGTGCGAGCTTATGTTGCTTTCACGCGTGCGTGTCACATCGTGCCCGCACGACATGATAAGGGCATGCGTGCGAGCGCAATGAGTCCCATTATGCAATTACGTCGTGCGTATCACACCATGCTATTAACACGTTACTCGCATTACATAAAAAAGACATGAGTAAATTTGTAAGTTTTAAATATAAATAATATATCTTTTTTTTTTTTTCGAATATTAGACTATATGTCGCAGCACGCATGCGAGCAATATGAGTCTTAAATGAGAATACATCAGCGTGCGTTATGAAAGTTACACGCGTGAGAGTACTAGCACGTGTGCGCTCATTGTGCGAGCATTTTGTGCAGGCACGCGTGAGACCAATATGAGTCTTATATGACACATATACAATATGCGCGCTCGTCGTGCGAATAATCCGCATGGCGTGCGTGCAACATGATATCACTGTGCAGGCATTTTGTTATTTTGTTATTATCCGACTCTTATTCAATGTTGTCTCATAGTAATGTAAATTGTTTATATTTTATTATATTTGTTAATTAATAACATTTTTATTATATCTATGTAATTTCGTGCGCTGATTTAACTGATTATAATTGAAGACAATAAGTTTCTGCCGTTTGACAAACAATGGCGCTACCAGTATGTTATAGTTAAAATTGTCAGCTGCAAAAACCATATCGTAAGGTTGGACATCTGGCAAGAACATAACCTTGAAATATTAACGATTTTGCATCAGCATCTTATATCTTTTTTCGTGCGAAAATGTCGAGTTTTGAGCCGAATAAGCATCATTTGCGGGAGCTTTTGATTTACTTCTTTCATTTGAAGAAATCTGCAGCTGAGGCGCATCGATTGCTTGTAGAAGCATATGGTGAGGCTGCCTTAAGCGAGAGAAGTTGCCGTGAGTGGTTTCAAAAGTTTAAGAACGGTGAATTTGACGTCGAAGACAAAGAATGTAGCGGAAAGCCAAAAGTGTACGAAGACGCGGAATTGGAAGCATTATTGGATGAAGATTCGTACCAAACGCAAGACGCACTTGCACTTACATTAGGAGTGACTCAACCAGCAATTTCACATCGCTTAAAATCGTTGGGAATGATTCAAAAGCAAAGAAATTGAGTTCCATATGAACTGAAGCCGAGAAACGTTAAACGCCGATTTTTCACATGTGAAATGCTGCTTGCCAGGCATAAACGAAAGGGTTTTTTGCACCGTGTAGTCACTGGTGATGAAAAATGGATCCACTACAATAACCCAAAGAAGAAGAAATCATGGGGACCACCTGGCCATGCTTCAACATCGACAGCCAAGCCGAACATTCATGAGAATAAGCTCATGTTGTGTATTTGGTGGGATCAGCTAGGTGTCGTTTATTATGAGTTGCTCAAACCGAACGAAACCATTACTGGGGCTCTCTACCAAACACAATTGATGAGATTGAGCCGAGCACTCAAGGAAAAACGCGCCCACTACTA